CAAATGAATAAATAAATAAATTTATCACCCACTCAAAATGATAAAGATCACTGACATCCTTTTAGGCTATGTGCAGGCCATCCTGAAATAACGCTAATGTCACGCTTTCTAGAACAACTCCGGTGCCATTTCAAGTGCTTTCTAAAAATAGACCACTTCAAAAAGCCTTGAAGCGCCAGTCCCATAGAATTTTGTCATTCCTCGAGGGAATTTTTCTGCATTTCTTCAAAATTATGAGCTTCTAGCCCTGATGTTCTGGATGGCTTCCTTTGATATTCATGTTAGCGTCGCTTGAAATGGATCCTTTAAGAGAGCCCCCTTTGTATTGAATCATAAGAACGGAGTAAAGATCGCATTCACACGACATGATTCCTGTTATCACCGGAAATACGTTGTGAATACTGAGAAATTTCGATGTTAAAACAAAATGTATTTGCCTTATGCTTATGGAGCGTTCATAGTTGGCGATTAGGCGATTAGTCTAAATGAAAAATATACGTATAGATTAGGCGAGTAGGCGAGTAGGCGATCAGGCGAGTAGGCGATTAGGCGGTGAAGACTACATACGTATCGACTTGTATGCTCCGCCCTGAGGGCGTTGTAGGCGAGTAGGCGAGTAGGCGATTAGGCGATTAGGCGATTAGGCGATTTGCACACGGCGCACTCCTTAGTCGTCAAAATTGAGGCGCACATGCATATTAGCTTCTCACCCATACACTAGACTACTAGTTGGTAAAAGCAGATCTTGTCAAAGTGTTGCATACAATCCAGATATCACCTAATCGCCTACTCGCCTAATCGCCTACTCGCCTGATCGCCTACTCGCGTACTCGCCTAATCGATACGTATCCTTTACTCATCGCCTGATCGCCTAATCGCCTAATCGATCCGCATACTTTTCATTTTGAATCATCGCCTACTCGCCTAATCGCCTAATCGCACGTACGATCGCCAACTATGAACGCTCCATTAGAGATATTTCCACGGAGGACAAAATACACAACTTCCACAATAAACAGTTTGAATAAAATGTGATAATATTAGGTCGCCTAATAATTCTCGTTTTTCGTCACACGTGAATTTTCCCGCTCGAATTCTTCATGTCACAGAACCTGTCACAGAACGAACCTTAAATGAATCGTTCACGGAAAAATCATGATTCTATTATATTTCAGCCATAAATCACTACCTTTAGACCCATCATAAACGCTAAGAATGGCCCCAAGGCGGGCATCTTTCCAAGCCCCGCCTTTGCTGCCCGCTTTTATCTTTCGATTGGTCCAACAGAGTGTAAATTTGTAGTTTGTTTGTCCCTTTGGAAAGCGGATCTTCAAATGCGTGAAAACTTTGTGTGCGTTTCCACTGACAACATCCCGAAGGGCGTGGTTCGAACATGCCAGGTGATTTTATCCTTCGGTAAATGTGAGTCGCGGACCTAAAGAGAGCGGTCAAAAACTGGACCAAATCCATACCTCGTGTTAACCTCGATTTTCTTCGAAGCTAAATGCGAAAATAAAAAGGTCAGCAGTTCAGACGTGAAACTGTGAATAATCTGCGAGAAAATTGGTCGCACTAATAGTTGAATAAATCAAGTCAGCTGTTCTCAGGTATGTTGCCAGCTGAAGGACAACGGGGAATATAATTTTTATTACAACCCGCCGAAAGGCATGATGCGTATCGTGATTAGAATTTGATATGTTTCCTTTTTTCTACCCTTGACACTTCATCGGGGGTGCTTTTCTTATTTATTCATTTTTATTTATTTGGCTATCGTTTTCCAGATAAGATGGTCCATTTTCGAACCCTATATTACAAATGACGTCATATTATCCATGTTCGACTGTCAGTAAATCTTGGCATGGGTAGTTATAAAGGTTACTAATATTGGTTGCGGTTTCAACAAACCTCATCGAAATGACGTCATATTAATTTGTAATGAAAGCCTGAATGAGCCATTTTATTTCACTCCCTATAAAACCCATCACCCCCACGCACAACACTTTCCACATGAATGATGCCAGCTGGTCGTCTTGCACGGGCTATCGGAGTTTTCAAAATATTGCACATTTTATTCAGTGTTGTTTACAGAGATTTATTTTAACGTTTGGTACCGCCTCGTATAACCCGTACCCTTCGACACTTCCCGTAGTTTGTGGCTAACCAACACCCCCACCGTGGCAAACTTCACCTTTTCATGGTATCTTTACCAAAGCTTATCAGCCCTCACACGTACACAACATGATGAGTTTAGTTTAGTTTAGTTTAGTTTATTACATGCTCCTTAGAACATGTTAAAAATAAATATGGCTTAAAAAAAATATCGGAGTGGTGCCTGAGATGGGTGGTGAACCGCAAGGCAGAAGGTTTACCAGATATGAAGAAACTGGTTCGATTCTCGCCTGGGGCGAGAACATTTGCTCTTCCTTCTTGTGAAAAAAATTTTTTTTAAATTGTTTTGCTTTTCATGAGCAGCTTACGGGGATCCTGTGGTATGCGTGTTGGTTAAAGGTAAGCCCCGGGATAAAACCGGTGTTAAGAGCGCGTCGTAGTGGTGACTGAGCTACCTGACGTCCTGAAGGTGGAAAGGAATGCTAGAGAAATCTTTGGGATCGCTGAAATTAGAGGCCTTAACCTTCAAAGGTCGGATGTGGAACGATGGCGAGGCAGGGCGGTCAAAGAAGACAAAACACGAGAGATCACGCCGTTCGAGAGAGCACGCCGATATCGAGGTGGGTGGGAAGCGTTGCAACGGGGGTCGATGGTTGCAGGCCCGTAAGGATTAGCGCCCTAACCGCGCAACTTTTGCGGCGAAGCTGGAGTGATCTAGGTAGGTAGGGACCTTACAATTTCCTCGCGGTATCCTTCCCACAAGTCGGGCTAATCCCGGGGTTTGCCTTCAAGGTAACAAGATCTTCAATATCCTTCTATTTTATAAAGCGCTAACTTTGTGTGTCGGTTTGTGTATCTGTATGTGTGTGTGTGTGTGTGTGTGTGTATGTGTGTCCGTCCGCAAAATGAAGTGAGTGAGAAGGAAGCTCATGGGATAAACAAACCGCTAACAAATCGGGTAGCTTACAGGATTTGAGATATCAATGTTTTGTAGCAGGATAGTTGTGATAACACTCTTAGGGCTATATAAACACCTGCTTAGCACACTTCCGTTCATTCCACATGGTGCTGCAGTGGCAGCTGGAGGGCAGTGGAGAGAGGAAGGGAGGATGAGGAAGGGAAGCGAAAAATCTACCGTCATATCATGATTGTGTCCCTTCTACTGTATGAAACACCATTGTGTTGCATACGCGTCACTTCCAGGAGGTGTTGGTGTCACAGGAGGAAGGGACCATAGCGGAGGATAGAAAGCTTGCGCAGGAAAGGAAGGTCCCGGCGGTTGACGGGGGACTAATCTGGTTTTAATTAAAAAGACAACAATTCAAATTGTGAGGTAACAGCGACTGACATGGTGGCGTGAAAGTACGTGTCCATACGTTTTGGAACGTAACCGCAGCAATGCAGTGGGGCTGCCATATCTATTATCAATCGACTATCTTATCCGCTAATCCACGTAGCTTGAAAGCGAGCGAGGAGTATCCAGTCCGTAAGTTCACATTATTAGCTATCGGACCATTTTGTGGGAGGAAGGTCTTTCAAAAACTGCCCGGCTGTCTCGAAACGGTTTCATGATGTGTTGGTATGTGCATGGAACGCTGTACAGCTGTTCTTCTTTTCTGAGTAGCCCTCTGAATACCAAAAAGGAGTGATGAAGTGGTTCGTGGTTCTAGTCAGTGACATTCAGTGACAAATTTTTTGCATTTTGTGTTGCCTTTTTAAAAAATTCGCGTAATAGCTTATGTCATACTTATAATTGGGAGCCACTACACCTTTACTTATAAAGTACGCTTTGGCTGAAGAACTTCGTTCTTTCTGTTCCCATGCACGTCCCTCTTTATCATGCAAAAAATCGTTTCAAGAAAGCTGGACATTTCCTGGAAGACCCCCCTGGTTAGCGCCATCATCCGCACTTTCGAGCCGTGACAATGGCACATCTGCGACTTTCGCAGGATTCTCTCTCCTTACCCAAATACAGACTCTTCGACATGACCTCATTTGGGGTTGTTGCTTCAAGTTCAGGATAAGGAGTGCGCTCGTTAGCCTGTGGGGTGGGCTCATTCCGTCTCACACGTCTGAATGCACAGCGTTTTCGTTTTTTTTTTTTGCGCCTCATCACCATCGGACCTTATTTTTTTCTTGAAAAAAAGGTCAAAAAATGATAAAAAACGAAACATGCGGGGGTCAGTTCAAACGCGCTCTGAAACGCTGTTTCGCCCACAGCTTCACATTCCTGGCAAATTTCTTAGGGCGTCGCAACTCAAAATAACAAAGGAAAAAAGCCAATCAAAAAATGACACACTAATTTTCGTCATTGAATTGTATCGGAGCCTCTCAAAATTGAAAATATACTGAGATGTCCTTCCGGGTCCCTTTTCATCATATCCTATAAGTGACCCAAACATTGAGACTTTCCATCGCGGTCATCCTCTAGACTGAGCCAATATTTCACGCGGTTTTTCGATGCATTGGCCAGCAAAAACAGACAAAAATATTCAGACAAAAACCGCCAGGACCGACGGCGGGGCGTCGCATGGCGATTCGCGAGCGAATCGCTGGGCTCGCAAGCTCTGACATCGGTCTAGACTCGCACTCGCCAACTTTTGCTACGAACGCGTGTCCTACCCGGCTCTCCTGAGTTTGTCATGATCCATGGTCGTGTGCAGGATGTTCAGCTGATGAAAAAATGTGTTAGTTGGTCTATTGCTGTCTTGGCTGAACCCACTGAGCGACTATTTTACGATCTAGTGTCCCATTGCTGTCGTTGGAAGCTCTATTCCATGAGTGCCGAGCGACTTTCAAAGCTGGCACCGTAATGTTCACGGTGAAGTGGTGTCCTTATCACTTCACCTTCACCAATAGAAAACATTATTTAGTCATCGAGTATCGCCGATATGATTCGCGATGCAGCGAATGAAGTGTTGCACTCACGCGTTCCTGAAGGGTTTCAATGGATAGAGGCCTACGGGCAGTACTACTCACCCAGTTGTGGATTTTTCTATGACCCGGTTTGTTTATCAATCTTGTTTTGCTTATTTATGCTTTCTTTCGATTCGCATTCCAACAGAAAATGGGAAAGTATTCTTTGCTTATTACGGTCATTGAAGTTCCTCATTGTGATTTTCTTTTGTTTAGAATACTGGACTTTTTTATCACAGCGAATCGGAGACTTATTACATATTTAACGACGACACCCAGCAATATGAGGTGTATAAGTGCATGCGAAAAAGTGAGTCTTTCCTTTTCTGCTATTTTGCCATTCTTTATGAAAAACTTAACTTTCCAACATGTTTTCTTTCACAGGTGTGTTGGGTTATGGGTCAAGTGCTTTGCTTTCCTTTTAAAGACATGCCCCAGGATCACATTAGTGGTTCTTGCACACGAATGCGAATGTGTTGGTGCAAAATGGACCGGACAGTAAAGAAAAAAGAAAAGAATTCCGTCGAAAACGCTTAGGTTAAGGGCCTTCACCTTCCTAATCGGCTGTGCTAAGGCAATGAGAGACTAAGCGCGAGGAGAGAGTATGAGTAAGAGAGCGCAACAGATGGGAGGGGCCAGACAACAGCCTGACAAAAGAAAAAAAAGATTGGCAGCAGTACTTTAGCAAGCCCTAGCGCTCTTCGTGCTTTCCTGCATGGAATGCATCTGTGATTGCGTCCTGCATGCGGTCTATTCCTATCAGACCGGGAGGGAATTGTTCACACCAGCTTCTGCTGGTTGTCGCCTTACCTTAAGTGTTTGCCGCATTGGTAGGGTTATTTCACGGCGTAATCTCTTATATTATCTGTTTGGGTGATGCACCTTCGTATCGCTACAGATTGCAGTTAACAAAATCAGACCAACACCGTCAATGTGATTAGTTTTTGGGGATTTCAGCTTCGTTGAGGTCTGTTTTCGTTTTAAAGCACCCTTGTGTCAGCTTAAGATTTCTCTCGGTGTGCATTGAATACTGGCCAAAGATTTTTTTATAGGCGGTAATTCTTTCGAGATGCTTAACTTTGGAGGCTTGCGCATGTTTGTGAGTAGACTGTAATTTGAGAGCATTGAATTTGACACTTGAACAGTCGCAGCTGCTCTTTGCATACGCTGCGCATTTGCAAGTAAACGCTCGTAGCAGGTGTTCATTACAAGGTTCAGTCTACCCAGCATTATTCTAAGCAATTTCTATTTCCTGTTTCAATCTAGCTTATATCGCGAACGTTCTGGATTAGCGCGAAGCTGTTTTTATCCGATGGATATAGGTAGAATCGTTTTTACTTCGGTCCACTACAGACCATTCGACCACATTTTCAAAATAATTTTCAGCCCAGTGGACGTCTCGCTCAAATAAAAAGAAAGCGAAGAAGTTGTTTGCCGGGGCGCTGGACCGATTAGATCAGGATGCTGTCGATGTTTGTGAGGTCGTGTTCGATCTCACCTCAAAGCTTAGCCTGGAAGACGGAGACGATGGAGAGTGTGGGCCTGGGACGCATTCAACTCCGTCTTCTTCGGTGAACACCTTCGCAGTCTCCGTATTTGTTTCCGTTTCATATCCCTGGGTATAGCTTCGGCTTTTTCCAATTGGCTGTTAATCCTCATTTTATACTTTGATTATCTCTTTTTGCACGAGCACGTAAAATATTTGATGCGACCACGCTAGCATTCAATGATCGAAAGATACAAATCTCAAGCAAGGAAGCACCTGTAAAAGACTTGAAGTTCGTTCCAGAGAAAGGACCACTGCGATGCAGAAATGGCCTCAGTGGATTACTTTGATGAAGCTACAGGGGACATCATTTCTGTACCACAAGGAAATGGCCAAATCAAAGGTATGTCGAGGTATAGAAGTGTCGCAATTATGGACATTTTGTAGTCTGAAGTGTTGATTTTGCTCTTTTCATCGCTCCATTCTCAGAGCCTCATTAGGATCAAAATGTTGTATTCACAAAGGGGTCTCGAATAAGTATCCAAAAGAGTTTAAAAGCTCTAAAAAAGACTCAAATATTCCTTGAAACTTTCTGATGTGCCGAAGAACAACACCTTGGTCGGATGTTGGAAAGCTTCACCGCTGGGTAACTTTCACACACTTTCACGCTAGTTGAGGCATACCAATGCTTGGCGAAGTTGCTTTGCACGAAATGTGACGGAAAGTTTCAAAGAAATATTTTGGAAGGTTCCTTGGGGTCTTCTGAATTCCTTTGGAATAACTCTCAGTGCTTTTTAAGTGGTGCAACATTGGTTCAGCCGTTGAGTAATTTCGTCAAAGCTCTCTGCTTTGATTTAGGCAACAAAGAAAGAAGAAAGGAAAGGCGGCGAAGGGCACGAGAAGACTTAAAAAACGGTGTCGGAGATGCCAAAATTTTGAGTGAAGATTATTGCGAGAGCACTAGCGAAGAAGAGGATGAACGGATACAAATGCGGGAAGGTGTGCCGGACTATATGTTTTCTATCTCATTACTTTTTTGTATGATTTTGATGATTTTGGGCACGAGCCTCCTCGTTTCTGCTCTACTTTTTGTAAGATTTTTTTCTTTTTCAATAAAGATCAGTCAGCAGACCGCGGATGAGTCTCTCCCATTATAGATGAAAGGTTTTCGCAGCCTCCATTGCTACGGATCATGGATTCCAAGAATAATCTCCACGTTGTCACTATTTGTGGCGGAGTCGTAGGAAGACAGTCCGGATGTGATATTCTTGTCGACGATCCATCTATTTCGAGGGTCAGTTCGGTTAGCTTCGAGTGTTCCACATTTCTCGATTTCGTACCGTTCTTCTCAAAGTTCGTTTCAGAAACTGCTCGAATTTGTGTTTGTTCCGGAAAGTAATTCATTTGTTGTGAACAAGCTTTCCGACAAAGGGCATGTTATGTTGAATGATTACGAATTGTTGGTAAGCTTTATTTCCTTATTTTGTAGCCACTTTTTTGTTTCTGCCTCAGAAAACAACTTTGATCATGTTTGCCGACTAGACGTGTGTTAGTTTTTTGGGAGTGTTCCACCTTTTTCACCCATTTTGCGCATGAATGCTGCTTTGAACAGTTACACTCGGTTACAGCAAAAGTTAGTCTTACCGTGTTCCCAGTTGCATCATTTATATTGTTTATTTTCTATTGGGTGGGGGGGCTGCTAGACGCCTTTGATAATTTCCTCGACCAGTTTTATGGCAAACGATGAGCGAGAGATTGAGCATGGTGATATACTGAGATTTGGCAAGGAATTTTTACGGGTCCACGTCCATTTCGGTGGGTTGTTATTATTTTTATGTTTCGTCGTTGTCAGTTAATTCCTTCTTCATTATCATTTTCTATGTGTATTCAGGTAACAATACTTGTCCTGGGTGCGAGCAGGGACTTTTGACGCCTGAAACAACCGCAGTGTCACAGTCAGTGACCGTTCCTCATGGAGAAACGGCGCGACGGCGAAATATGAAAGCGCTCAAAGCTATGTATGGAATCAACGATTACGTGAGTTTAGTTTCCTGGGTATTTCTGAAATTGTTATTTTGCTGCTCAGTTGGTCGTGTGGGAATATCTACTTTATCGTAGGGATATCCTGGTCCAGTTAAATTTTGGCGATCATCTTGTCCTACCTCAGAAACTAAGTGCAACCCAGCCCCGAGGTCTCAAAGCTGTGCTCCTATATTTTCCCCCTCATTGGTTTTTCAGGCAGAAAGTGCTCGGACTCCATCTTACGGACCAGATCGTGCTGCTAAGAGGCGGCGACTTGTTGGTTCGGAAATTGACGTAAACAAGGATGGAAGTATCGCTGATCCAAACAATATTTACGCTGGGTGTGCTGCTAAACCTGTGCCAGGTTTGCTGAATTAACTCTTGATTATTAGATCATGCTACTCAGCAACATCTTTTCCAACTATAGGGTTCAACTTCAGGTGCCGTTGTTGTGTCGAAGTTTGATTCCAGTTAAGCCGCTCAACGAAGCCAATAAAGGCTTCCGTCTGCTTCAAAGTATGGGATGGAAAGAGGGCGAAGGATTAGGAAAGGACGGCACAGGACGTCAGGCACCGGTATGTTCCTTGATAAATTTTTCTAGATGCTTTCAAAATAAAATGAAATTAAGATTGTCTCGTGTTCCAACGCTCTCAACGTTTAATTGATCTTTCTTTTCTCTGATAATTGCTTTTCCATGGACCGAAGTTAAACACTCCTCCGAGGATAACTGGCAATTATAACTTGCATTCGTTGACAGCTATCTAAAAGTTGTGGGTTGAAAGTTGTGATCAGAGTTGTTTACTAGATGAAGTGTGTATATGGGCTGCTACCAATATTGGAGACGTTTTGCATGGCCATTTCTATCAAATACCAAAAATTTTTACCGCAACTCTGTGGTGAGCCAAAAGTAGTGTTTTGTCCACGTAGATAGTTGGAACAACTGGTTTCTAGTCTCATTGCGTCAAATTATTAGAGGTGGTAAGGGTTCCTGTCTGATAATTGCGTCTTTTTTCCTTTTTTTTTTAGTTTTTTTTTTCTATGCATTCAGATGAGTTGTTCCAGATTGAATCCACTGTTCGTAAAGAGCGAACTGGATTGGGCGCTACGGAATCGAAGCCCGCTCCACCTAAAAGCCGAAAAGACGTGATCTTAGACAAGACGCGGGAACGTTACGAAAAGGTAATGACTGTGATAAGTAGCTACTGCTGCAGTGATTTTTTCTTAATTACGTTCAAGATTCGCTAGTGTAATTTATAACAAAATATCAAGCGCAGACAAACTTCCCTAAATCAGTACATAAATATTGAATTGCTCCAGTTACTATGAGCTTTATGTGGCAACAACAATTGTTTCTAGTGCACAACATAGGCTTAGAATTTCCCATTTGAAGAATGGTTCAATCAGTTAGTAATGTTACGGAGGCCACGGATCGTATTCTTGACAATTTCAGCGATTCGTACACACGAATCGTTGATCGGTGTGGGAATGTTAGGTTCGACGTAGAGAAAGGAAATCATTATGGAAGTGAGCTGTCCCAGTGCAGTCCCGATTTACGGCCAATTATGTGCTTTCACGATTCGGCCTTGCTGTGAAATACATCTAAGGCTTGCAACCTCTGATCACTGCACCTCGCAAGACAGAAAATGGGTTGCATGAAGTAGGAAAATAAAATAGCCATATGTTTCCTCAACCCTTTGCCGACCGCCATATCTGTTCACCTTTTTTTTTTTTGGAAATTATTGGCTTACCAATAATTTTTTTGGAAATTATTGGCCTACATAATTTGACGCAGGAGACGTAAATCATATAGTCATTGAGCGTTGTATAAGAGTAGACAAAGTGGCTCAAGCTTAAGCTGAACCTTAAGCTCCAGTCACCGCGCACCTTTGATGTCCTGATCTCAGTAGGAGAACCAAACGAAAGTCAAATCCTGCAATTGAGCCTTCCAAGCTGTTGTTCAGGAAGTGCCCATAAGAGCAAACGAAGTGGGATAGGTGAAAGTCTTTTAAGTGAATTATAGAAACAGTCATCATCCGCGTGATATCCCATATGCTTCGTCTGCGGGTTAAATTGTAGGCTACACATATGTAGTGTAAAAAGAAAATGTAAAGGTGTAGCGGATTTCCTGCGAACGTATTTTTGTTGCGTCCACTAGTGTGTTCAGCTATCGTAGTTGCCTAATGGTAAGTCAGGACTTGTTGCCCAGACAAGATTGATTGGTTGTGAGCGCTTCAGGTCTAAATATAACAAAGCTCGCTGGTAACAAGCAAAGATCGTGCATCGGAAGTACTTTTGTTTTTGATTTTTTTTACAGCTGCTCAACTCAACTGTTGAAGTTGAATTCGATGGTGCAGGAACATGACATTCTGGACGCTCGGATTAATGTATGATATGTTTATGGACAGAAAGCACTGAATATTCGCACGAAGAAAAATAAAGAAGCCTAGTCTATTTATTTACCGGTAGGACGACTCGATGGTGATGTTAAGCTGAGCTTTTCCTAAACCTCACCGAATACGATTGTATTTTGATGAATATGAAGACCTCTGAAAATAAAGTTTGTGAACTATGGACTATATATTTCTGGGGTGTCCCCAAGAGGCCCGTCGCGCGGCGAAGGAAGAGACGCAGACGCGGCAAAGGACGAGTCGCAGCGCATACTGTAGCGGTTAGGCGTCAGGTTAAACAGAGTGTACCATACTACGTCTCATATCGCACAGCACGCGCTGCGACTCGTCCTTTGCTGCACGACGGGCCTCTTGGGGGTACCCATATTTCTGGGTCAGGTGTAGAGTGAATAAATTGAGTAACAGAATTGATCACTTGGGGCCATCCTTATCCCTTTTGGAACCGTAGAAACGGCGGAGAGAGATGACGCAATGAGTTTATCTTCTATTGGATGATCTCTCGTATCAAATCTACCACAACCACATCGCCATCGTTGATGCCAACATCCCCCCTTGGACCCTGAGTTTATCCGTGTTGTTCTATTGGTCACCAGATTCCTGAGCGGGCGACAGGGACGTCTCCATGGCCGATGTCAGACTTTGCGATTGGAGCGATTTTGCACCAATTGCAGGAGCGACGGATCGCTTGAGCGATGCGAGCGACGGGAGATTTACCCGATGGCGCCGAATGTATCGGTGGTCGGCGGGTAAATCTCCCGTCGCTCGCATCGCTCAAGCGATCCGTCGCTCCTGCAATTGGTGCAAAATCGCTCCAATCGCAAAGTCTGACATCGGCCATTCGTTTATGTTGCGTACCAGGCTATTTTAGTGGGATAATCTTCGTCCCAGGGACGCGGCCACAGCATGTGGAAAGATCATTTCTCTCGTTCAAAGCTCTCATTAAGTAGTCTGACCATCGGCCGGCGGTCGTCCAGGTGTTCGTTTGACGTCCCGAGGGATCCAGTCGGTAACCGCTCTGGTCCAACGGTCATCGCAAAATCGCATGACGTGTCCGGCCCACCTGATCTTCGATTTTTTGACGAAAAAAGTACGGAGAGACCCCTCTGAACTGTACAGTAAATTGAAGTTCGAAGTCTCATGGTCAGATTACTATTTCCACCCTATTTTGGTTGTCGTCAGGACAACCTTAACCTCCTCCTGACGGATTCATCTACAAGTGGATGGTGAAGCTTTACCAGTGAAGGCTTTGGAATTGGTTCACTCTGATGAATTCTCAACGGCACCAAGAATGACAACATAACGCAACTTCAAATAGCATTTTCAAGAGGTCAGCCTAAAGATAAGAAAAATGCCTGTGAAAGTACAAAAAGAAGCTCTCTAACCGTATTGATTGATAGCGTGGCTATACCTTACCCCGCTAAAAAGCCGAGCTAAACACCAGGATCCCTCGATTTTGCCACGCCACAATTTTGCGTGCTTCTAGTGGTCGACGAGCTCCTCAATTCGCATGCGCTTCGTCATCACAACCTTTTCCTGCGGCTGACGACGTGCATTCTATGAGGTTGCTTACGGTGAAAAAAACTTCGCGAACGTTCTATGGGATGTTTGATGGTAACGACGATGTGGAATTCAAGAACGACCTGGCATTTCCAGATGCTTCCCAGAGATGATCATCTTTCTGCTCACATGTGATTCGCTATAGAGCAGCTTCAGAATAAGTAGCTCAGTTGTTGTTTAGTGGATCGAAAGAGTGGAACTAAGGCTCACGAAATGATAGGGCTCAGTGAGGGCGACCATAGGTGCATAACAATAACACAGAAGGTATGGTCGTCATGGTCTTATCGATTTATTAATTAATGTAGAAGAGAATTGGTTAATGTAAAGTATTACATACAGAGCAAGATAGCATCCTAATAAGAAGCTCATCGATTGACTTGTTTTTGTTTGTTGGCTGCAGCTTTTCCCCCAGTTCGCCTTGCTAATATTTCACCAGAATACTGGGTTATGAACAAAAGTTTATCCCAGGCGGGCGAACCCACAACTCTCGCTTACCGAGCAAGTGTGCTAATGTTTCGCGTAAGTTGTGCCCGGTAAGCGAGAGGTGCGGGTGTTGAGCTACCGCTGGGCGCGAAGGCTATGTGTTCAGATGCGTATTTTTTGAGACTAGTCGATTGAGTTATACAAATATTCAGATACAACTGACTCTCAGAAAAGAAACTTCTATGACACAACTTATGACTCGCTTTGAGCTGGAAATGAAGGAATGTGATTGTCCGCCAACTTTCATGTCATGACGCCGACACAATTATAAGGCAGCGTCAGGACTGATAAAGGAAGCATAAGGCTATAATTCCTCCGAACGCCGAGAATAAGGTGCTGCTGAGGTCTTACACAGCGGCGCCAGAATATACCGCGTCGAAGAATTAGCGCAACGCGTAGGTTTTGGATGATTGTTAGTAAAGCTTGTTTGAAGTAAGTTTTGCTGAACTGCAAACGAGAATTCCGATGAATGTGTTACCAATTCCTGACCTCACTCTCCACTTAGTTCAGAGCGTTGCCGTACCGACGCAATTTGATTTCCGCGTTCAAAATTCAGTAGAATACTATGAACTAATTTTGCTGAGTGAAAATTTGTTTGTTACTGTCGAAGCCGGAGAATCATTTAAAAAGTATTTGGCATTGCTAGACTCAACTCAGGCTGAATGGCCTGCAGGGTAAAGAGTCTCGGAAGTAGGTCAAACACCCACGCCACCGCCACGATTTACCATCCAAAATGGTTGACCGAGTGCGTAATTGCTTCAAACAATCCCTTGAAAGGATCAGTCGACGTTCAAGTCAAGATTTTTCTCCCAGATGATTCATGTCAACCAGCCTCTAAGGCACAAAAGCAGTCGGTGAGCAAGGAGCAAGTTCTCGGATGATTTAACGACATAAAAACTTGGAACAACCCAGCGACCAATTATGATGCAGCGCTCTAAAGCGCCACACTACATCTACCCATACGAATCGCGTCTGTAAAATCGGAATCCTGCTGAACATTTGCTTGATTTCGCTTCGCAGATGTTAAAATTGGCAAAAAACGAAACGATCCCTAAACTTCTATAGGCGTTCTTTCTGCCGTACCCATCAAGGATGCTCCCAACTTTCCAACCCTTCACCTTTAGCGAGTTTTTTCGTATTTATTTCGAAAAGAGAGACTGAAACATTTAGCATTTTTCTGCGCTCTTTCCTGCCAGTAAGCCCCATGGAAAATTAGTCTTGAAGACGATTTTTCAGGGGTTGGCGGTCACTTTTAAGTAGGTTTACTATGAATGTCGAAGTGTTTATAGGAGATTTAGACATTTTTTTCTCTTCTCACTCATTCATTTTTCAAATTGTATCAGCTTAATCATGTATTTACTTCCCTATTCGGCTTCAGCTCTTCTTCCCAGAAACTCGTTATTCCTCTATGGAGCAAGTTCTCCTCCCCCTTCCCTGTTTCATCATCATGGACGTTCTCCGAGCGTCAGAAGTACCTCCCTTCACTGCCAGTGACGGCACCAGGCGATCGATGTGTGCATGCTCGCACTTTTTTTAGTCACAGCTAACCAGATTGCGTTCCGATGAAGTGTCGATCTTCTTTCTAGGAAATCGGTTGTCACGTGAAGCCATATTTAGAAAGGCTTACAAGTTTGAGCCCATCGAAATTGATGAATGTTTTGAAAAACAAGGAAAAGCAGTCTGATAATAACAATTTCCCATTGAGCTGCAGGTGGTTAAGTTTTTGTTGAAGGAAGAAGCTTACTTCATCCTCTCATTTCCGAGTACGTCATCTAAGTACAAGACTAGCCCCTTCATGAGGGACGCCACGTATTCAACCCAGGGCCAACAATCCGCCTTTAATTTACCATCGAGGGAGCCGTATATGGTTTTTTTTGGAGGAGGCTTTCTTTGGTTTCGGTGTTGCTTGTTAGTGATGGAACATGGGGCCTTATTGTGCGCAACCTCTCTCACGCCTGGTT